TTGTTAGTGAGGTTTGGTGAAGAAAACGTGATATATTGAAAGGAATATTATTTTTCTGAGAATTTTTTGTTGCATTTACAATTTCAGTGAGATAAATTTGCCTGAACAAAACTAGAAAAGATATTATGTATCAATAGTGATTGCTATATTCATTAAGAATTTTTTGTTTGATTGTTTCAATCAGTTTTAATGAGATAAATTTGGTTGGGGAAATTTCATTGGAATACCTAACTTCTAGAATATGTATTAATTTAAAGCCTGAATTTTATATTTTTTTAAAAGAAGACTTACATTTTAGGTTATTCTCATTTTAAGGCTTACTTTTTAGTTAACTTTTCATTATAAGGTCCAACTAACTTTACTTTTTCATATAAATATGTAGAACAACTATTATGTAAATAAAAATATTATTATTGTTATTATTTTGTGATTTATATTTTACATACTTATAATAAAAAAATAATAAATATCTTTAATAAAATATATTAATAAAAAATAAAATTATATAAATTACAATGATGCGAAACTTTATAAATTATATTTATGCAAAAAGTTTAACAATGAAAAATTACATCATTGTAAATAGATGTTTATATAGTTTTATTTTTTATTAATATAATTTTACTATCTTAGGATCTCATCGTTGTAATTCCAAGTAATTTGTATAGTTTCATTTTTTATTAATATAATTTTACTAAAGATATTTTATTATTTTTTATTATGAGCATGTAAAATATAAATAATAATAAAAAAAACTTTTATTCACATAATAATTGTTTTACATATTTATATGAAAAAATAAAGTTAGTTGGGCATTATAATGACAAGTTAACTAAAAATTAAGCCTTAAAATGAGAATACACTAAAATGTAAACCTTCAGTTGAAAAAAATATAAAATTCAAGCCTTAGAGCATCTCCAAGAGACTTCTTATTTTAGACTTCTTATCTGGAAAAATAAGGAGTCATCCTATATCCATTTGCTTCCTATTTTCTGTTGTTCTCCAAGAGTCTCCCTATTTTATAATTTGAATATGAACCAGACCCACAAATCTATCTAAAAGCCCACTTGAAGCCCATTTGATATTGTAATTGTTAACAATTATAATAGTAATTAACTAATTTTATAATATTCACTAATTTTTTTAATTATTATAATTAGTAATTTATTATTAATTATTTTTTATAATTTTTCCTTTATTAATATAATATTATTTATTTTTAGATTATTATTATTATTATGCTAATTGTTATTATAATTTATTAATTTTTAATCAAATAAATTATTTTTTTGAACAATTTTTATTTTTTTAATTTTTTAATTTTAATTATTATTATTAGTAATTTATTATTAATTATTTGTTATATTTTTTCATGTATTAATATAATATTATTTCTTTTTAATTTATTATTATTATTATTATTATTATTTGAAATGAGGGGTCGTTTTTCCCTCCCCAGAAATGAGGAAGAGAAGCCTCTATTTGAGGTCACCCTAAAAATAGGACCAAGTTTAGGGGAACTGTTGGAGACAGTTTTTGAGAGAAAATCCCTATTTTTGAGATAAAAAAGAGAAACAGGGAGGCTCTTGGAGATGCTCTTATATTAATACATATACTAAAAGTTAGGTCTTCCAATAGAATTTCCCCAAATTTGGTTAAACAAACTAAATTGGGAAAAAAATATGTATCCCAAAACGAATATTATATTTCTTTAATTATGTGTGTTCCTTAGTGAGGATACACTACTGATTCATATGTAAGTAGTGATATGGGATACCATACCAAGTAGAACAAACACAATAAACCGGATGACCAGGCTGGGCAAACTGGTTGGTCGAACAGAAGCACGAGTAGGGCTGTAAACGAGCCGAGCCGAGCTCGGCTCGTTAAGTAAACGAGCCAAAAATCGTGCTCGAGCTCGGCTCGTTAAGGCCTCGAGCTCGAGCTTTAACGAGCCGATCTCGAGCTTTAACGAGGCGAACTATAAAAAATTACATAAATTTCACTTTTCGAGCCTTATCGAGCCGAGCCGAGCTCAGCTCGTTAACTAAACGAGCTTTAAATGAGCTCGAGCTCGGCTCGTTAAGGCTTCGAACTCGAGCCGAACCGAGCCTTAACGAGCCGAGCTCGAGCCGAGCCGAGCCAGGCTCGTTTAATTTAACAGCACTAAGCACGAGTAGGTCTAACGTCATTACAAGAACAAAGAGTCTTCAGGTCAATAAGGACATTGGAGGTTTAAAAAGAGGCACCGATAGGTCAAGTTATTAGGGTCCTTAGACGGCCTGGTGGAAACTTGACCTGAAGGTACTATTGGTCGTGTGATCGACCTGAGGATAGAGCACGTAAGCTGGACATACGCAATCTACCTCGACGTGATTCATACCAGGCACACGATTATGCAATCTAATAAAACAGACTAACTGATAGGAATGTACATTAATAGAATAAGGACGACAAGTGGAAAGGACCACGTTGCTGTTGTGTACAAATTGTTATTCTTTTTACCGAGTACCAAATCGAAAGATTCGTTCCCCGGGTCGATCTCACGAGAAAGGCTGTTCGGAATTTAGCTTTGATATTGATAACACATAAAAGCAAATAAAATCCTAAACATACTAATCAGATAAGGGGGTTTGAATAATTACCAACTAAGAAATAATATAAAACAAATATTCTACTTAAAAAGATAAACGAAATAAAGATGGAGAAGCTAGGGAATCGGGGACAATTAATTCAAGTTCTAGCAAAATCGGGCAATTCATTGTTCGGTTCGAGATTGACACTCTCGCTTAGACATCTAACGGTTCGCTCCCAATACTTCGTAACAAGGGATTGAACATAGACGAACAAGTTCGAGCATACAACACAGGCCAATTATCCCAATCCCAATAACTTTTCGTAACAAGGGACGGGTCATCGACAAGTGCGTATTTCAATCTAAAACACGTAGATTAGGAAATTACGACATCGTCTACCTCATGTGAGCCTAGGTCAACGATTTCTTCCCTTTCGGTTCTACAAGTCGCTAATTAACTAGAAGGTGTTTAATCAACTAATCGCATAGAATCAACAAAACCCTAACTCGACTAATCAACATTCAGTTGTTACCAATTGCAAGATCGAAGTGTCACTCTTCGATTATATCAATCAATCAAGCAAGATTATATCAATCCCTAATCAAAACAACTCACATAAGAACGAACAATTTCAAGCCCGAGAGATGCACGTTAAACAAGAATAATCATTCCCCTATCCCCAGCGATACGAATTAGCTACGCATATTGAATTCAACAAAATAAATCAATTCTACAAATTTAATCATTATTCATGAATTAAACAAGAGAGAAAAGCTTACAATCAATCCAAGGTCCAAAGTCGAATTCGTAATACAAGCGTAATTCGAAGACGAAAGAGAGAAAAAAGATGGAAAATAAAGATAAAAAGAAGAAGAAAGATGGAGAAGAGGAGAAGAGAAGAAGAAGAAGGGAAAGTGAAGGGGGGAAGTGATTTTCGGACCTAGGGTTCCTCCCCCTTCAAGCTGGAAGTGAAAGAATTGAGAAGAAAACGAGTTTTTGGGGTTTTTATACTATTTTGAGACCTGCTGGGGGCCTTAGCGCCGCTAAGGGGGGGTTAGCGGCGCTAAGGGATGAAAGCTGCGAGTCTCTGGGGTCGCTAACATGGTCTAGCGCCGCTAGATAAGTGAGCCTTAGCGCCGTTAAGGTGCCTTAGCGCCGCTAAGGTGTCTGGACAGCGCGACTTTGCGTTTTTGGCTCGTTTGGGCTCGTCCGAACTCGGAATTGAGCTCCGTTTTTTCCTACGCGTTGCTAACGAACCCCTCTTTCTAATGGTGTCAGCCTCCACAAAAGATTCTCGAAAACCTGTTCTCCCGGGATCTTCAAACTACACACAAAAAATGAAAAGAGAACAGAAAAAGACAGGAAAACTAACGGAAAACACCACAACACTCAAAAGAACGCAAAACACATAATAAATGACAAAAAGATCCTAAAATCACCTAAACGACTCAATACGAGGGAAAAAGAATGTCAAAAAGACAACAAAAAATACAACAAAAATTGGACAAACTCCTCCCCCACACTAAAACCTTTGTTCGTCCCGAACAAAAAGAAAAGAAAACAAGACACGAGCATTGATACGGTTTCAAATAAGAAGAGTCTCAAAATGCCCAATGCAATTGAGTCGAATTCTAACGAATGTACGACCATATGCCTCAAATATCAACTTTACCTTGAAATGACAAACTCTCAAAACATAGATCATCATATATGCCTCACTCATTTTCTTACATGAATATATGATAGGTACGCTCAAAATTGGTCAATAT